AACATATTTAAGTATTGTATGAAATTTGACAGATACTATTAATACAAAGGACCTTCCATTTGGGAAGCAAGAAATCAAACAAAGACAGTGACACTTCCTTTGGAGAGTTATTTTGAAGATTAAATGACATTACTGCCTTCAATTAAGTGCTTGGCATATAGTAGGTACCCAGCAAATGTTAATGTCCCTGTTCTTTTTCACAAGGTAGAGGGAGTAATTAGGTGAACAGCTACACAAAGGCCTAATTCTAATCAGTAAAAAGGAAATGATTGGGACAGTAAAATTGACAAATCTCTTGGTAAAAGATAACCACAGAATCTTAAAGTTGATGTTGGCCAAATCGGGAAAAGTTAAGCATTATATTTTTGACATTGGGAAGCAAATTCCCAAAATATCAGAGAAAAATAAAGGTATCAAACCTCCAACAGGAAAAGAAAAAAAGAAAAAAAAAAAAAAAACCTCAAGAACAGAAGACCCTAAAATATGTACTTTGACCTGATAAAAAGTAATGGAGAAGATTTCTAAATACTTAAGAGGTATAGCTAAAATGAAGAAGTAGAAGCTACCAAAAAACAGATTTCAACTCACAGTAAGCATTGTCTAATAATCAATATAGTTTAAACCGGGAAAGTAGCAGTTTTGGGAGGTAATAAATCTTTAACTTTCAAGCACAGAGGGAACTGAATATTTGGTGCAAGTGTTTGGGAGGACATTTGAGCATTGAATCATTCGTTCCACTTGATAATGAAATTTCCTTTTATTCTAAAAGTGCATGAGTCTAGCCTCAGGGGATATTGTTGTGGTGGGAAACAGTATGAAAGAAAAGTATTGCAACTGAGAAAATTCAGCGAAAGGGCAAGCTAACCCCCATTAATTCTCTAGCTCTTTAAGAATATTATTATTTTGTCATTTGGAAATAGGAGTTTTAAAAAAGAAAGCTAAAAAAATAGTGTTAACAGCAAATTACATCTGCAGTGTGAAGCTTAGAAGGAATGATTCATCATGTTAGTTAAGAGGGATTTAGAGTATCTTCTTGTCCAATCCACTCAATATATTCGATAAAGAAACTAAAATCAAGAAAAATGTATTGGTCCTAAGTCACTTAGCTAATGACTAAAGCACGACTTCAACCTAAACTTTCAGATTCAACTGTCAAACTGATTTTAAACTTGTTTATATTTTCAGGTAACATGAGAATTAGACTAATAGAACTTTTCTAGAATTGTTCTTTCAAATGGCATTTAAAACTCTAGGTACCGGCCGGGCGCGGTGGCTCACGCCTGTAATACCAGCACTTTGGGAGGCAGAGACGGGCGGATCACAAGGTCAGGAGATCGAGACCATCCTGGCTAACACAGTGAAACCCTGTCTCTACTAAAAATACAAAAAATTAGCCGGGTGTGGTAGCGGGCGCCTGTAGTCCCAGCTACTCGGGAGGCTGAGGCAGGAGAATGGCGTGAACCCGGGAGGCGGAGCTTGCAGTGAGCGGAGATCACGCCACTGCACTCCAGCCTGGGTGACAGAGCAAAGACCCCGTCTCAAAAAAACAAACAAACAAAAAACAAAAACAACAACAACTCTAGGTACCAAGGGTTGAAACAAAGTACACTTTACAAGAGGATAATTATATAGATATTTTTTACTTCTTTTAAGACTTTCCAAATACACAGATCCTTTATTTATCTGATTATGAATCACACCCAGGTGGTAAGATATGGAAATCTTGCAAATATATTAGAAGTCAGGATTTAATCATCTGTGTACTTGTGAACTATTCCAACATTAAATATATTTACACCCACATGAGCTAATCTTATATAATTATCATGCTTGCGTTTTTTTAATAGAAAAAAGTTTTGATTCTTTTTCCCCCTGTAATGAGTGTGAACTTATTATGAAAATTTCATGTGCTTTTTTAGTGTTTAATTTTGCAATAATTTTATATTCAATTACTTACAAAATACACACAAAGACTACTTATGGAATACTGAAATGTATAATGGGGAAAAGTGATTATGAAATACAAATGTAAAAACCTTTATCTATAGTATGACCTGAAAAACATAAAATATCAACAAAAATCCATAGATAAAAGATAAAAGATAAAACCTAAACGTTAACAGTATGAGATTATCTTCTCTACTGTTTTTTCAGATTTTCTGTAATGATCATGTATTTTACAGCAATAACAAAAATCTTACATTTTAAAAATGAAAACGAAGCTAAAAACAAAATTATATGAAAATCTAGTTTTCAGAATTAAATAATCCATTCTCCACCTGAAATGGATAAAATTCATTAGAACATAAGATACTATTTGATATATACAAATAAATTCATAAATGTTACTGGATGCTTCTACAGAGCATTGTAAATAAATAGGCATATGTCCCCTTAAGTAGTGATAAGTAACTGAATGTTCTCATCGAGTTCCAAATGAATAGGAATGCTGAATGTTGGCTGCTTTAATGTTAATGTAATACCTGGCATTAAGAAATTTACTCACCATATGCTTTTCTTTTCCTTCCCAGCTTCCTGTGCATCTATTTGAATCACAACGAAAGTTTCTGGACTTTATTCAGCATGAATCCAGCTGGAAACTAATATGCAACTTATATGAACATTAAATTTACAATGGTTTATTTGAAAGGAGAAATATAATGACTTGGTTTATAGAGGACTTTGTCAAGTTATAGGTAGCTTGGTTTTTCAAATTGCTGCTTTTGTCCAATTTTGCCAGTTGAAACTGGTCTTTCAGATACAGCGATGGTTTTTTTCTGAAGAAATCCTGCCAACATTAAAGAGGTTGTCTCCATTATAACTAAACTGAACAAGACAGAAAGCTTATGGGACAAACTAAAACTGGCTCTCGACCTGCAGTTGTGTCATGTTGTTTTCTGAACATTTAAAAAATGTACTTATTGAAATATATGCTTGTTCCGGCCGCCCAAAACCACAGCCGCAGTAAGGCCCAAAACCAGACAGAATATCGGGAGAGTTCCCACAAGGGACTGCCCCAAACCAACCTAAGATGGGACCAGTTGGGATTTCGAAGAAGGAAACACTAAACACCGAGTGATAAGTCCAAAGCCTTTATTAGTACTATATACATTGTGTGCTGCATTAGTCCTCATGATTGACAGGGAGAAATGAGACGTTCTAACCTGTGGAACCATAGGGGAACCACATGGGGAATCAGATATGGAGTTTATATGGGAGCTTAAGGAATTGGGGTCAGGGTTGGGGCTAGTATTTATGTGTTTAACAACATGTTTGATGTTTCAGTGTTTCAGGCAGCCTAAACAAGTTTATCCGTGCCTGGGAACACTCAAGGGCGTGGCTTGGGTTCAAGTCTGTGGAAAACATGGCCCCGACACAGAGCAGTCAAAAACACTCTGTGTTTCTGAGTCAGGAAAAAGAAAGCAGAGGGAACAACACTAATTTTAAGTATATTTACGAATGTTACCCTCCCATGAGACGATGCAATTTAAAAATAAACACCTATTTCTCAAAGAAAACTTTACAGTGCTCAGAAATAAGTATGACATCAGCACCTTGAAAATTCTGTGCAAAATATAAAAACAAGATATTATGTGCAGTAGTAATTAATAGACATACATTTCCACTGGTTATCCACTGACATATTACCAATCTGCATTGAAAATATCTGCTGAGCAGCAAATTGTGCAAAGATCAGTAAAAACAGTATAGATTGGGTACCCACTGGTGTCCTGAATAAGTATGAGGAGGATTCCTAAATGTCTAGTTTAATAACCCATTTCCTTCCCTAATACTGTCCTTATTTCTAAGCTCCTACATTCAATTAAAATATATCCTTATTTATCCTTTTCTCCACACTACTTCCATTGTTTCTCAGCATGGGTATATTTAAATTCGCCCTTACTGGTGATGGCAGAGTAATGGTGTCAAAAGTTTCCAAAGATATTAATTCTAAATATTTTTTTTCTCATTTTCCGTTTGGTTAATTCTCTCTTCAGTTGTCTTGTTAGCAGACTCACTCTATGGGCTCCATAGGTTCCCTCTGGCAAGCTGCCAGGTTGTAAATTGCCCTAATGGAGAGGTCCATGGGACAAGGAACTGACGAGTGCTTTCATCCAACAGCCAGGAAGCTACTGAGGTCCTCAGTCCAAGAACCTGCTAGCAAGTACATAAATCTGAAGCAGATCCTTCCCCAGCTCAGCCTCCAGAAGAGACTACCCCAACCAATGCTTTGACTGCAGCCTAAAGCAGGGAACCCACTTAAGCCATGCTTGGATTCCTCACCAACAAAAACTGAGATAATAAACGTATGTTAAGTCAATAAGTTCGAGCAATATGTTGCACAGCAATAGATAACTAACACATTTGGAGTTCTTAATTTTTACTGTTCAGTTTTTCTAGTTTTCAAATTTATATATATATTTTTTCACAAATCTGCAGTGACTTTTTAATAGTTTCCAATTCTATATGGAAATTTTCCATCTTTTATCTCCTTGAATACAGTCTTAAAGTTTATCTCACAATGCAATTATTTGGTGCCCCTTTGGGTCTACTGTTTCTGCCAGTTTTCATTCCATCTTTCTCCTTCTGTATCCAGGATATGTGGAGATACTGTATTTGAAAAAGTACCCAAATAATTTGAGGCCTAGGAAAATATTCTTCCTCCAGGCTTGTATCTTTCAGGTTCCTAAGGGCATTAGAAACCTAAGGTCACCTTAGTCTACTTCCAAAATCTCACAATTTACTAAGCCACCTTGATGATTTGATTTTAAACTACACTCAATGTGAATGGTCTACTTCTGTTTCACCATTATCCCTAGGATGCTGTCCTTCAGGGTCTCTAACCAAAAATTTCTACCGGAGTCACAACCTTGGAGGTCCTATACTTTTAACTTTCGTCCATCTAGTCTCCCAAGATATTAAAACACTACACGTTTTCAGCCTCTTCTTGGCTAACAAATCCCCCCCTCCAGAGCAAAAGCAGGACCAATAGCAAGTTCAACTTTTGGGATTTCCATTTTATTTAATACATCAGCCTGGCAATTAATCATCACCTTTCCAACACATTCAAGCAGATGTTTGTTGTGATCTGTAATCAGGTGTTAGACCAGGAAGACTGAACCAAATAATCTAGCATAAAGTAGAAATTGAAAGCAGAAGTTCAAGAGTTTTTGTTGTTGTTGTCTGTTCTTTGGTAAGTCACCTCACAGCTTATTAGCCAGCCTGTGTTTGAACCACTATTTGGGCACCTTCTCTATTCTAATAAAGCCTCATCCCTGCACAAGCATCCTAACCATTTTTCTCAAATGGAGAGAGGGGTGCTATAAACAACCCAATTTAGTCTAGAAAGGGAAACTAAATATTTTGTGTAACATCCAAATACTTTCTGGTTGCCAATTTTGGTTCTAGAGAAATGGACAAAATTTCTCCCAACCTCAGGCCAGGCACAGTAGCTCACACCTATAATCCCAGCACTTTGGGAGACCAGGTAGGCGGCTCACTTGAGGTCAGGAGTTCACGACCAGCCTGGCCAACATGGTGAAACCCCATTTACTAAAAATACAAAAATTAGCCGGACATGATGGCTCCCAACTACTCGGGAGGCTGAGGCAGGAGAACTGCTTGAACCCAGGAGGTGGAGGCTGCAGTGAGCCAAAATCCACAGTACTTGAGCCTGGGCAACAGAGCCAGACTCAGTACTTTAAAGAAAAAAAAAAAAAAAAATTCTCCCAACTTCATAAGTAAACTGCCTAAACAAATCAAGATTCATTTTACCATTCATTTAGCAGAAGAGTAAGGTACCAGAAGTTCATGTATTTCGCCAGATAACTTTATCACCCTCCAACCCAAAGACTAGAGGTTTTAATTATCTCAAATGAACTTGAATTCTTTGGAACTTATGATTATCATAATATCTCGTTAGAAAAGTGAGATTTCTAAAGCCTAGTAAGTAATCATAAAGGTATAATTTTGCCACTAATAATGCAAGTTCTTAACAGCTGTCTTGGCCTCACAGGTCATAAACTAACAGCCTCAGTAACAAAATATTTAATAGAAATTAGTAGACAGGTCCAATGATGTGGGCCAAGAGAGGAGAAATGAGAAGTGGCCAATTGGAGAGAGTATGCATGTCTAAAGGGACTCAGAGCAGGTAATTCCAGCCCCTGTATATTGTTAACATGTAAGAACATAAAACCAGAGTTGCCAGATCTTCCAGTTTTTCAAGAGAATCTGGAATAATGAATGTTCTATGATTCTCTTGTTAAATATTGGCAATTAATTAAAAAACAAACAGAAGACATTGCATAGGGTAACAATGAATGGCACAAACAAAGCTCAATTATCTCTGATGCTCCTTTCAGTTTTAAATCCTACTCACCTTGTTTATTAGTACTATTAATAATGACTCAGAGAAAACTCTTGAGAGTCTTAAAAAGATCCTAATAAAAGTGCTCATAACATAAAATTATAAATAAAAGTCAGGTTTCACATGAACTGGAGACACAAAGAAATACTTTGTAAGTAGCTAAACCTCATGTAAGCTTTCATTTTCCTAAGGTTAAGGTAGCTTTTAGTAATTCAAACCAAGAATTAAAATCAAAACTAAAAATCTAGCTAGTTCATTTATAAAGCTTATTGACCATTTGGGTGCATATTGCTGCAGTATATATTTCTACAGTATGAATAAGGCCATCATAATATTAAACCTCAGACTTCTGCACAAACTATTATAGAAGACTCAAAAGCCAGTTTCAAGTGTCAAACGCTATTTATAAAAAATGTTACAAAGTGAAATGTGCAATTCTATTGGATGACAAAGAATACAAAAGACAATCAAAATCTGAAACAGAATTCAGTATTTCCCACAGAGGAAAAGAACAGAACTGTGATTGAGAAATGGAGATTAATCTGTACTAAAAAGAATGGCTTATAGCCCGGGTCTCCAACCCGATATAAGCCATAATCACAGATATGTTTATTTGCACAGTAGCTGTTGCCAAATTTCAGTCTACCATGTGCTTATTATTCACCAAAATAGTAATCATATCTATACCTTTGAAATATTACCTATAAATTCTTGCTCCTTATGGAATCTCTTCATCTTCCCTGATTATTTTTTATTGCTATTGTTGTTTGTCTTTACAAAATCTCCTTACCAAACTTTGGGGAACAAAGGCCTTTCAGGTTGAAAAATTCGAACTGTCCAATCAAGTATTGGCCAATATTAATGTTGTAAACCTGTAGGTCTCTTTGTATCTATTCTCAATATTCTCCATGGCAATTTTTCTCACTAGTGCCTTGCTCTTTTCTTTCTCCTGCCTCTATCCAAAGCCACAATTTTACCAATTTCTCTAATAATTTTTACAATTATCCTACCTAAACATGTTTTATGTAAATTAACCTTACCTTTTATTTAATGTAAGCATTACACAACGTACACTAGAACTTAATATAAAGTGCAACGGGCATAGTAATTTTAACTATATTCGTTGTCTTAGTATATTTGGGCTACAATAACAAAATTCCATTAACTGAACAGCTTATAAACAGCAGAAATTTGTTTCTCACAGTTCTGGAGGCTAGAAAGTCCAAGATCAAGGCACCAGCAGATTCAGTGTTTGGTGAGGATCATAGATCCTCAGTGTTTGGTCTGGCTCATAGATGGTGCCTTCTCACCATGTTCTCACAGGGTGTAAGGGATGAAAAAATTCCCTTGGGTCTATTTTATAAGGGCACTAATTCCATTCATGAAGGTGCTGCCCTGCTCCAGTCACCTTCCAAAAGGCCTTACCTCCTAATACTATAGTCATGGGGATTAGGATTTCAATGTAAATTTTTGAAAAACCCAAATATTAAGACCTAGGTACTGGTCTATTAAAATATCTCATTAAAAAATCTAAAGCCCTCTTGCCTAGTATCTAAGTTTTCCATTTCCAAAGATGAGTAAGCTAAAATACATGTATAATGAAACTTACAAAAATTTCTTTAAATAACATTTTCTTAAATAACAAATGTAATCATGAAATGCTTTTTCAAATACAATATAATTTCATAATGAATTTGCTTATAATTAAGTGGAATTTGATACATGTTGATAGTTCCATATTAGAGTCCACTCAACTAGTTTCTTAAAATACTTTCTGATTATAAAAATAATGTTCTCACATTCTGGGGGGTAATTATGAAAATCAGATAATTAGAGGGAAAAATTGAGCATAATCTTAATCACACAGTCTGTTTAGTTATAATGCTGATGCTTATCATTCAGATACAAAACACAAAGTTGAAACCAAACTAAATTTGAATGTGCTTACAAATATATTTAAATCCATGGAATTTGATAAAATCATCTAGGGAGAGTATGGTTAAACAAAAATGGAGTTTAGAAAAGAAAAAAAAAGTACATCAATATTTGAAGAAAAGTGAGAGGAAGAACAGCAAAGAGAAATATGACAGAATAGCCAATGAGATAGAAGGCAAACCAAGAACATGTTTCACTGAAGGCAATAAAAAGACTACTTTAAGAACGAAGGAGTGGTCAACCATGCAAAATGTGTCAGACCTTACTGAGTACAATACAGAAAACTGTCCAGTGGATTTTGCTATGTAGGGACTAATGGCTACCCATTTGATAAGCAGTTTCAGAAGAACCCAAATCAGATTGGTTATATACACCTCATGAGAATCAGCTGAAAAATTATTGGCTTTAATGAACAACTTAAATTGGTCTGATCTTTTACAAAATAAATATATAGCTATCAGTATCACCTATATAAAGCCACTTTTGAAAACTATAAAGTATAAAATTGGAAAGAAAATCCATTTCCAACTACACAAAAATGTAGGCATACATAGGAAATGCATGGAGATAAAAGAAACTCTAAACTTTGCTGAGAAATAAAAGATGTAAATACGCCAGGTACAGTGGCTCACACCTGTAATCCCAGCACTTTGGGAGGCCGAGGTGGGTGGATCACCTGAGGTCAGGAGTTCAAGACTAGCCTAACCAACATGGTGAAACACCGTCTCTATTAAATACAAAAAATTATCCAGGCATGATGGTGCATGCCTGTAATTAATCCCAGCTACTTGGGAGGCTGAGGCAGGAGAGTCGCTTAAACCCAGGACATGGAGGTGATAGTGAGCCGAGACTGTGCCATTGCACTTTAGCCTGGGCAACAAGAGCAAAAACTCTGTTTCAAAAAAAAAAGCAAGTAAATAAGAAGATATACCAGATCTTAAACTAAAAAGGTTGACTACCTTAAATTCATTAATTCACATCCATTCAACCAACATTTATTGATTTCTTACTTCTATGAATCTAGGCACTTGGAATGGATTAGCAAATAAAGCATGTAAAGTTCAAAGCTTAATTTGATTTCAATAGGGTTATCCCTTATGTTTCACCATTATACTGTCCTATTAATATCTATCTTTTCTTTTAAAACCAAGATTGAGAATTCTATCAAAGCCTTCTTTCTCCTTTGAACAACTAATGTTCTGTATTAGCATTACTCCTAACATTAGTCCATTACTGAATTGATTTTCTACCCTGCTGTAGTGGGTTCTTCTGTTTGTTTTGAGACAGAGTCTTGCTCTGTCGCCCAGGCTGGAGTGCAGTGGCACAATCTCGGTTCACTGCAAACTCTGCCTCCCGGGTTCCAGCAATTCTTGCGCCTCAGCCTCCGGAGTAGCTGGGATTACAGACATGCACCATCAGGCCAGGCTAATTTTTGTATTTTTAGTAGAGATGGGGTTCTGCCATGTTGCCCAGGCTGGTCTCAAACTCCTGGACTCAAGTGATCCACCCACCTTGGCCTCCCGAAGTGTTGGAATTACAGGCGTGAGTCAGTGCACCCGGCTGCAGGGGGTTCTTTTAATTACTGAATTCAGTATGTTAGTATTTTATTTGGGATTTCTGCATTTATATTAAAATGTGCATTTAATAGCTCAATAACTCAATTTGTCTTATCAGTTAGCAATACACAAATGCAATTATTTTTAAATCAATAAAAGGTAACTAAAATTAAATCTTTCAGTGACGAATTTCAGCAGAGTAAGAGATCTAATAACAGGCTGACATAAGAAATATTTGTCTCAAAAATCAATGTATTTAATAGTTGACAGTTACAAATCTCATTACTGTTCCTTCAGTAAAATTTATTCCCAAAGTTCTCAATCAAGTATGTTTTTTCAGTTTTCCAACAGCTGTGCTTTTTCTTCTTTTGGTCTATTCAGTAGAAAGTGAACTATCTGAAGTAGAACATCATCATTAAAACCCTTCACATCATTATCCTCAATTGTTTCATAAAGAGGCTTACTTTGTGTACCCCAACATATATTTTTACGAGGGTTATTTTGATCAGCTTGTGTAGTCAGTGCCAAAGTATTTAGCTGGTAGCAGAAAAAGGAAAAGTATTTTCCATCTGTGATCACAGCCTGGGAGACAAAAGGTCGAGTAACATCTGCTTCACTCCAGAATCCTGTAGAAGAAAGTTATGCTGAAATTTACGTACAGAATATATCTTGCCCAAACAAAACAAACACATTAGACATTAGAGGGTATCAAATACCTCCTACAACTTAGATACTTTATGTAACAAAATCCCTGAAGACCTCAAAGTTTCCTTAGCCATCTCCATTCTAACCCTGTATTTCATTTCTGCACAAATAATATTTTCCTCACTTCTAGTATCCTCAATCTCATGATTAATCTTTTTCAACAATGTCAGCCTTATTTGCTTCATCTAAGAGCAGCAAGCTCTATCTATGCAGATGACTTCTACATCTGGTACTATGTCATTACCCAACCACCAAGCAGTAACTTTATTTCTCCACACGTATCTTACGTCATCTTTAATGGAGATGGCAAATGAATAATACTGTTAACATACAGAATTAATTTTATTGTGAAAGGAAGTTCTTTATCTTTCAAAAATAAACAGTGCCATTCTACCATCTTCAAGAAAGTTACTTCTTACTTATGTCTAATTCCGTCTACTCCTACTCCCACTTTCTCTATTCAATTCTGTTATAGAAATCTAAGTCGATTTTGAGTACAACGTTAAAATACATATATACGTTAAAAAAAAAACATATATTACTTCAGGTTTTAGAATACAATCCAAACGCCCCACAATGAGCTCTAATAGTCCTGTAAGATATAGCCTTTGGCTTCTGCTATGTCCTTCTACATCATTCTCCTTGTCCCACTCTTCATTACCCTTCATGTTGTTCCTAAATATTTCAGGCCTGTTTCCACCTCAGGGACTTTTTTACTTGCTGCTCCTTTTGCCTGGAAGTGTCTTCCTCCAGATTTGTGCACAGGCAGCTCCTCGCCATTCAGGTCTTAGGAGAAGTCATTTTTAGAGACCTCCCCTGAATGACTTTTATAAAATAAATTCTTCTCCATACCTCATTTATACCTGCCCCCCTACAAATCATTCTACTCTTTATGCTAAAGTATTTTCCCCATAGTATTACCACTAGTTATAAATATTACATGCTTATTATCTTTTACCACCGCCCCCCTACCCCACTATAATATAAGCTCTAAGAAAGCAGGATGTTTCACTCAACACTGCATCTTGAACAGAGTATAGCATATAAAAAAGCAGTTACTGTTTACTGAATGAACAATCTCCTAATTCAAATCCTGGATATAACCTTTAAAGAAATTATATAGGATAGCCATTGATTTAATATAAGTATTTAATCCACTAAATCATTACCTTTTCTACCTTCTGAAAGCTATTATCATCTAGAAAGGGTTGACTTAGTTGGCTACAGTCTTTAAAATGCGTGCAAAAGTACATTCACACAGGAGATGGTCAAAGTAAAAGATAAAAACAATCACCTCAGTGTCAGATTTCAACTGTATAGTATTTAAACATGGATTTTAAAACAACTGTACTTTGGGCCAATGTAAAAGTTTAAAGATGTTAAGATTCAACCTATGTTTCAACCCAAAGAAAACAATTTTAACCATTATATTCTTAGAATGTTACAAATATCTTCAAAGAAAATGCTATAAAATTAGTTTTTACCTTGATACATAGCTTGTGCTCCAGTCCAAGCAAAAAGGCTTGCAATAGCATTAGCTCTAAAAACAACTTCTATCTGATCAGCACAGTTTTGTCTCAAAAGTCTTTCCCTTCTTAATTTGTTAGGTAACAGATGAAACTGGGTGTGACCGTAACAGCAAGGATCTGCAGTTTTTGAGCCTAAAAAGCAAAGAAAAACATTTCAAATGAAACAAACATGTAGAACATCTGGAGCACATGTTTTAGTATTTGCGCCTTTTTTTTCCTTCTTTATACATCATATTCTCAGTACTCTAAATACATAAGTAGGAATATTAATATACTTATATATCGTATGGATCATAATAAAATTAAATTTCACAGAAAAGCATAATTTCTCAATCTGCTAGCTATCATAAAGCCCATCAAAACAAGGAAGAAGTTGAAAGAATATATAGAAAAGTTATTTAAAATTTCTATTATCTGTTTTCTCAAATCCTTTAGTCATGATTAGCTATGGTTGTCTCCTTGTCATATTAACCAAGAGGATACAACTACTTCAAGACTCTAAAAACTTATTTAATGAAATAATTACACACTTTGCTCCTAATTTTTAAAAATTATTTTTACACTACTTTTCTAAGTAAAAAAAAAAATAAGTAGCAACACTTCATGAAATGCTGACATTCTTGATCTTAGTGGTAAAGTCTTTTCAACAAAGTGTTCCTTGCAGGTCACTACCTAAGACCGCAGTGACTGAGAAGAGGCTCATAAAATAGGTCTGGAGGGCTAGTATAAAACGTTCTTAAGACTTCTTCACATTGGGTAAGAATTAACAAAGGAAGAAAAAATGACAAAATAAGCTGCACGAGGGACGGCAGACATCAGGCATTATGAATTTGTGAATTCCTGATCTTACCACCATCCATGGCGCAAATAGAACACTTAAAAAAGTCAACAGCTATCTCAAGTCCAGTTCTAAAAGTTTTTACTTTTAAAAAAACACAAATTTGACCGGGCGCGGTGGCTCAAGCCTGTAGTCCCAGCACTTTGGGAGGCCGAGACGGGCGGATCACGAGGTCAGAAGATCGAGACCATCCTGGCTAACACGGTGAAACCCCGTCTCTACTAAAAAATACAAAAAAAAACTAGCTGGGCGAGGTGGCGGGCGCCTGTAGTCCCAGCTACTCGGGAGGCTGAGGCAGGAGAATGGCGTGAACCCGGGAGGCGGAGCTTGCAGTGAGCTGAGATCCGGCCACTGCACTCCAGCCTGGGCGAAAGAGCAAGACTCCGTCTCAAAAAAAAAAAAAAAAAAAAAAAAAAAAAAAACCACAAATTTATTTTTCTATCTAATAAGTCAACAAAGCCTATTTTCTAAAGTTAAATACTGCTATTTCGGTAGAAACAAGTAAAATTTCAAATAACAAACAACATTTTCTTTCCAGTGTTTATGCATGTTGCAGTAACCTGAGATTATGAATTATATTGCTCATGGACTATGTAAACCTCTCGGTAATCAAGAATTAATTCCTCATTGTAGTCAATACTCCAAATTCGCATAGGACACTTTGAGATTATGAATTATATTGCTCACGGACTATGTAAACCTCTCGGTAATCAAGAATTAACTCTTCATTGTAGTCAATACTCCAAATTCGCATAGGACACTTTGAACACATTTATAGTATAGTATGTCAAAAGAGAAACTTACCAACAAATATACGGTTTTCATACTGCCGTTTGAATAATGGAAGTTTGTCTGGTTTACATTTTATAGTGGGGATTTCTATAGGAACAGAATAATCCAATGGCACAAACTTAAAGAAAAAGAAAAGACATACTAAATTCACAGCAACATTAGTATGTATTTTACTCACACTCATTAGATTTAAAAATCTTAAAATGAGGTGGTTTCACAAAATGATTTGATAATACTATCATTGAATGATGGGCTAAATCCAGTAAGCCACCTGTTTTTACAGGTAAAGTTTTACTGGAAGACAGCCCACACAAACTCATTTATAAATTGTGTATGGCACTCTGCACTGTAAGAGCAGAGCTGAACACTTGCAACAGAGATTTACAGCCTGTACAGCCTAAAATATTAACTATCCAGATCTTTACAGAAAAAGTATGTCAACCCTGACACGAAAGCACAGACAATACTCAAAATATACTTTCTTCCAAAAGAACTGCAAATATGTAAAATGGCCCAGCTGATAAGTGTTAAACTTCCTTGGTTTATGACTAGCTAGTGCAGTCTAGTAAATTACAATCATAAACTATTTCAGAATTTTTATATTAAGAGAAACATACAGATCTGTATGGTCCGGCAAAATGACACCTTAACCTGTTTTTGTTAAAATGATTATCTGACCTTTATGGTGTATACCGTAGCAGATTACATAAGCTAAAAAGATTTTTGAGATGTGATGTCTTCAAAAAGGAAACTTGAAAGGCAAGAGATCCATCTGAAACATTTTATTCTACTATTACTTAACCTGCCTATGACAGATCCTACGTGAGAGATCAACAGATACATAATCACAAAAAATCCTTACCTCTGCGAGTTGCTTGGATATTCGAACCTGGTTGTTTGGTTTATCATCTATCTGGTATCGCAAGTTATCAATTCGACCTTTTCGATGACCACGAGGAATAATTTCTTCACCACGCACCCAGTAAAAATGAACTGGGCGTCTATAATCTATCAAAAAGATATTCAAAATTTTTTTCATCTGATCATCTAAATAAATTTGGTTACTATTAGAACACTAAAGAGTACTAACTTAGCAAATGATAACTTAAGAATGATGGAAGTAAGAGTCTGGGGTATGTGACAATTTAACTATTATGACTTAAATATAACATTCAAACTTTTGTCTATTTGTGCCATCATTACTCTGAACATTAACCAAAGAGATTTCTCATTAGGAGTAATAAAATAAGACTAACAAGAGTATCATTCACCGTAAACAAAAATAGGACTATTTTATGAACTACCAATTCAATTTTCACAATAACTCCCAAAGGTATGTATACTTTTCATTATCTCCATTTTATAGAAGAGGAACCTAGGTCTTGACAAAGTTAAATAGGTTTTCTAGGCCATCCATCAGGAGTAGTCTAAGTTCATGACGCTTTCCTCAAGACTTCTTTCTCAACTGGAGAAGGGAAAAAACATGTACACAGCAAGGCTAGGTTGAGCACACATCTACAGTCCTAACATTACTTCAATATTAAGACATCCACTTCGTAGAAGATATAAAATGATGAATACGTCAAAAACAATAATTTTTAAAATTATCTATATGTTAATTACTTTTCATGTCCGCCCTGAGCGGTTACACAGAAGCTGCTGATGGTTTACTAGGAACTTGGAATGGGGGTTTGAAGTTTGACCCCCCACCCCGCGCCAATCTATTAGCTATAGGGTCCTCAGGCAGACACATTTAACGTTTCTATGCCTCAGTTTGTTACATTTTGGTCTTTTTTGCATTTACCAAAACATTGCTACCTATCGTGAATGGTTATTGTGAGGATTAATAAATTGGCACACATAAAATTTAGAACAGGGCCTAGCACATACTCAGTAAACGTTAGGTATCTTAGTTAATATTTCATTTAATCTTCGCAATTCTACGACGAAGAACCACTACCGTAAAATGCGAAAAATTAAGCAAAAAAGAAGTTACTAAAGAAAAAGAAAAGGCACACTAAATTTAAAATTAAGCTAAAAAGAATACTACTCAGCCGTGTGACACACCGTCACACAGCTTTCTGGTGGAACAGCCAAAAGGAAACCTGGCCCGCCCCACTCTCTTAAGTGGCGTTTTTCTTCATCACCACTGCTCTTCCATTCGGCTTAACCCTCACAAAGTAGAGTCCAGGACTGGAATCCTAGAGAGCTCAGGCTACCAGAGTTGAAGAGCTTGGTAGGTGTTAAGCGCAGCCACAAACACGTAGTCTCTAGATTCCTAACGCAGTGACTGTTACAAAACTAGGTCACCCCAGATAGGAACGAAAGAACTAGGAAAACAAGAACGAAGCAGAGAGAAAGAAATGACGAGGGGTAAATCTGCGGCGGAGTAACCCAGTATAATCCCCATTTCTCCCTTCCGCCCTGGGGGATCCAAGGCTCACCGAGGGCGGCAGCGGCCAGGGCCGGGTTGTGTGGGCTGAGGAGGCCCACGAGGGTTGCCACCAGCTGATCCAGGAAGGGCAAAGATATGACCTCGCTCTCCTCGTAACGGTGCACGCGCCGTTTACGCCGCAGGTAAAAGTGCTCCTGCAGCAGGCAGTCGCAGGCGACTGCACGCAGCGCCGCGAGGTCCAGCGCGGGTTCGGGTTCGGGTTCGGGCTCCGCGGGGGTCGGCGGCAGACCCGACAGGAACACGGTCTTGGTGAAGTACTGGTACCAGCGGTCAGCGTTCAGCGCGAAGGTCTGCGGGTAAACCATGTACTTCATAAACTGCATCTTGGTGAGAATTCGCAGCTTCTCGTCTACCGACTCCGCAGCGTGCACCGTCGCCTGCCAGCGTTCGATTCGCCGCAGCCGTGCCGCCTTGCTGTCGGCTGTCATGGAGGCCACAATCGGCGGGTACCGCGCGACGGGGGTCGCCGCGACATCTTGGCAGGTCGTTTCTGTAGCCGTGGCGGCGGCATTAGCCGCGGTGTGCAATGAAAGGCTCGGACCGCGAAGCATAGGCCTCCACCACCTGGCCGCCGCCATCTTTACCCGCGGTTCCGGACCCAGAGGTCGACTTAAACAATTGTCCCTCTCTTGCTGTAGGGGCCAATAGGAAAGCGTAATCTGAGCCAGTCTAGGAAAGGCAGAGTCTCGGTGGGCGTGAGTTATGTTGCGTCATTCATGGTTTAGCCAATCATATAACTTCTCCAGTCGCGGTTTCCTGCGTTTGTAGATGGAAGGAAGAGCTTGTGTGTTTAGGTATTACGCTGGTGGGAGATGCTGCCACCTAGGTTACTTGTAGGACCCTATAGGGCAACCTCCCTTTCCAGGAACTGTTTGGGAACATCTTGCAGGAAAATGGCAGGCCCTTGGTTAAACGTATTGGCTTCATTTGTGTGTCTCACAACACTTCTTTTCAGTTTTAGTTCTAGGAATAGAAACTTATTTTTGGAAATACATTACTAGCATGTTTTTCAGTATACTTGATTATGTTTAAAAATTATGCAAGCATCACTCGTGACCTACTACTAATCTTTGGGAAAATAATTCTATATATTTATCTGTGCTTAAATACAGATAATTTGTTTAATGATATTTATTTTGAAAGAGGGGCGTATTTTTACTTGGATTTAACTGGGGAAGACAGAAAAAGGAAATAAAACTATTAAAGAATTGTGTTTAAATTTTGCCTTGTGTTAAAACCATTATAAATTCAACACGAGTTGTTCTTACTAATCTGTGAGCCTCTTAAAAAGGGACTGATTTAATTTTTAATATTAAGCAACAAATCAATACCTGTGCATAATGGGTGCTCAGTAAATATATGCTAAAAAAAATCACCAAAATCTCATCTTATTTTGGGTAATCTAATTTATTGATTCACTCTTCTATAATTAGGAACTAGAATATTAATTTGGATTTATTGTAATAATTCTTTAGAGTATTAAAACCCAAATGTCTTGTTGCTAAAAAGAATTTATAACTATATTTTTAAGTCAAAACAGATGGTACGGTTTAACTTTGAAACTACAAGTCTATTAAACTGACCTTTAGAAGTAAAATACAATACTTCAGTTTCGTTAATAATATCTTCAGTGAGAAGTTGCTAATGGAATCTAAAATATCCATTCTACGTTATTAACAAAAGGAGGACATGAAGACTTGAGATCTTTAAAACCGATATTTAATATTTAAAGAGTAAAAGTGAGGTACTCAATGTTATCTAAGTCGAAGTGACAGGTTTTCGTGTAAATAAGTAATAAATACGCTGCTTGAGAATGTACCATAGAAATCCTAGGTTGATATTTTTTAAGTACTTATAGTATTACAGCATTGATTTTAGGATTAGAAATTAGAGCTAGAGACCAATTAACACCAAAAGACATAATCCTGTCAGAAAGTGCCTTTATGGCTTTTTGTGAGTGAATCAAAATAAATTCAATTTATTCAATACTTACTGATTATCAACATTATGAACCAAGGAATGAGGCTGTGGGAAAGAAAGTATACTTAATGAAGGGTGGAGCAGTCTGGGCCAGAGGAAAGGTCGAGTAAGACTAGCAATGAACAGAACAGCCTATCTATGAGAAAGGACTGAGTCAGAGCCGTGGAAAGAAGGCTATCTAATATGGTCCAAAGATTTTATGTTACACACAAGGAAACAGACATAAAGCCAAAGTAATATAGCATGGTAGGGGCAGTATTGAGACTGGAACCCAGGCTGCTGGCCTCTTAGTCAGTTTTACTTAATGGATTTTATTGAGTGTCTTTTATATGTTAGGCAGTGATCCAAGTGCTCAGGATAGTTAATGAACCAAGCAAACAAAAGTTTACACTCTAACAGGGAGACAGACAATAAAATATAATCATAGTAGTAAATTATATGATGTGTTAGAAGGGGATAAGCACACAGGGGAAAAAAAACCAGCTGGAGAAGTGAAGATCATCAGAGCAGTGTATTTGATGGGGGTGGGGGGCAGGTGAGGAGTGTTGTTTGCAATGCTTACTGAAAGGAAAACATTCATCTAGCAAAGGTTTGAAGGAAGTGAGGAGTGAACCATACCAGTATCAGTGAACGCTGTTCTAGAAAGAGCAGCTAGTATAGGGCCGTGAGATGGAAACATGCCTGATGCGTTCAAGAATTAGGTAATTGGCCAGTGTGGTTGAAAGGAATGATGGGTGGGCAACATAGTAGGAAATGGGGCTAGAAAGGAAAAGAGCCAGAAACTAAAGGCTCCTGAAGGCAATTGCTAGGATTAAGACTGGAGAGCCATTGGAGGGTTCTACTCAGAAGACCGTCATGGTGTGACTTAGGTTTTTAAAAGAATTTCTCAGCATATTAGTTGGCTTGGGCTTCCACAACAAAATGCTACATACTGGGTGACTTGAACAACAGACATTTATTTTCTTATATTCTGGAAGCTAGAAGTCCAAGATGAGCATGCCAATATGATCAGAATCTGGTGAGGGCTTTCTTCCTGACTTGCAGACAGCTACCTTCTCCTTGTGTCCTCATAGGGTGAAGAGAAAACAACCTCTTTGGTGTTTCTTCTCATAAGGGCCCTTGCCTTGTGACCTCATTAAATCTGAGTTAGTTCCATAATGTCCCTATCTCACATTAGGGGTCAGGGTTTCAGCATATGAATTTAGTGGGGAGACAATCCAGTCCATTGCATTGTAGCTGATTTGGAAATACAGATTGTGGCAGGTCAAATTTGGAAGAGGGAAACCAGTTAGCAGACAGTTGGCCATATTTTAGGCAAGGACTTATTGTGGCTTAAAGGGGTAATAGCAGTGGAGACAGTGGGAAGCAATGAGAAAATGATTCGAGAAAGACTCTAAAATTTGGGATCTGAGCAGTCGGATGAGGGAAAAAGGCCCATGGACACAGTGTGTTTACCTTTTTGTTAATCTCTCATTTTTTTAGGGGAGAGGGGCAGAGAGAGTGGGTTGAGGTTTAGAGAAGGGAATGGGAGAATTTGTAAAGCATATGCTTATCTATTTGTATATGTTTAAGTTTAAATTCTCCTGGAAGAAAATTGATGTTAAGATCTTTCCTGTTAATGTTTCCATTGATCTTTGATTTAAAATATTACAATTCAAAACAGTGAAGCCATGACATTCTCCAATGCTTTTTGAACCCTCTCTACATCATTCATTCAACAGGTATTTAAGTGACTGGTGTATACCAATACTGTTCTAGGTGCAGAAAATACTGCAATAAAATAAAGGCCTTCATGGAGTTTACATGCTAATGGGTGAAGTAATCTAGCCAAATATGTCACATATACATATTCCAAATTAAATAGTACTAGGAGCCAAGAAGAAAAATGAAGCAGGAAAGGAGACTGAATAGTGTTAGACATAGGAGTTGAGTGGAATAGTTTCAATAAACTAATCACACAAGGCCTTCCTGAGAAGATGACATTTGAGTAACACTTGAAGGGGATAAAGGATAGAGCCATGTGGTGGGAGACACGTCTGGTGGGAGGGAGGAAGATTCCAGCCTGAACAAAGGCCCCAATCCTCCTCTAGCATACCTGGAAACTGGGAAGAATAGCAAGGAAGCCAGTACAGTTAAGGTGGAATGGAACAGTTTTCCAGCGATCACAATTACCTTATTCAGAAACAGGTTCTGATGAGTGGGATAATATTTGTAACCACTGTATTTTTTGGTATTGAATGTCTGTCTTGATCAATTTTAGTTGAGCATCAGACAATTCTGTTGATGTTTGAATAAGATTAAACTTTCCCAATCAACTGCAGTTTTTACCAGAGCTTTTTTACTATCAAATTGATGAGGTGAGAAGGAAACAGAAACTATTTCCTACCAACAGATGTAGTGGGAGTTGCAGCTGGTTCTTTTTGAGCATTGTTTCTTTTGCATATATTTCCTACGTAATGCAGATATCTTACCCAGTTGTATGTATAACAAATTTATGTAAAACTGAGAGCATAATGTTTTGGGGAAAGAAAGGTGCATTTTTGTGCTTGATTTGTTTTTGAAGGGTTTCTGATAGTTGGTTCGGAACTAATAGGAAGGAAGCTAAGTGTCTACATTACATGCCAGCTACTGTATTAAGAACTTCATATGTATTTAAATCTACATAACCACATAGTCACAATCACCTTTCAAAGTAAATATTATCTTCCCTCTCTCCCCCTTTTTTTGGTCTGCGAAGTCATAAAACTCTTACACATCAAGAGATGAAGATTAGCTAAAACAATTTTGAAAAAGAATAAAGTAGGAGGATCGGTCTACTTGATTTCAAGCCTTAATGTATAGCTACAGTAATCAATGGAGAGAGATAACCTTTTTGGCAAATTGTGTTGGGGCAATAGGACATCCATTGGTCAATAGGTAAATAAACTTCAATCTATCTCTTACACCTTTTGGAAAAAATTAAATTAAAATGACTACAAATTTCAATGAAAGCATACAATTATTACCAAAATATAAGAGAAAAAAACTGCAGGATATAGGAATAGGCAAAGAATTCCTAGAGTTGATATCAAAAGCATAATCCATAAAAGTAAAACTTGGTAAGTTTTAACCAGCAATTGCACTCTTGGGGCATTTTTCCCAGGTAAATGAAAATTTATTTTCAAGCAAAAACCTCTTCATGATACAGCCTTATTCATTATAGCCCAACATCGGAAACAAACAAGCAGATGTTCTTGAACAATTCATGCAGTAGACCTGGATAAATCTCCAGAAAATTACACTGGCCTCGCAAAAAGCCAATACTAAAAGGTTACGTATGGTAAGATTTCATTTCTATAACATTCTTGAGGTAACAAAGTTATAGAAGTGGAACACAGATTAGTAGTTGGTAGAGATTAAGGAGTAGGTGAGATGGGAAGGAAGTGAAAATTCCTATAAAAGAGCAACATAAGGGATTCTCCTGGTAATGGAAATGTTCTCTATCTTAACTGTATCAATGTCAATCCTGGTGTATTACTTTGCTATAGTTCTGCAAGATGTTCCTGGAAATTGGGTGAAAGGTGTAGGAGATTTAGCTGTATTATTCTTGCAAAAGCTTGTTAATATATAATTATCTTAAAATAAAGTTTTAATTAAAAAATAAAAGCAAATGAGGTAGAGTTCTTGGAC